TCGATCCTAAACGCAGGCCATTCACGCGTGACGCAGAGAAAGTATTTTTTTTTGTCATCCAGACATTTTTTTTCCCCGGAGTGCGTCCTTGTAAGTGAAAGTCTCATCTTTACTGACCCACAAGGTTGTTGAGCTGCTGAGGATCCAGTGGAGTTTATGTCATTACAACACCTACATGATGAAATCTACAGTCTGATTGGACGACGGGCGTTGACGGACAGAGGTGCGGTGTTCAGACCGGTGGCGAGGCAGTTCTCACTGATAGCTAAATGTCTCTTTTATAATCACATTACTTTTTCAAGTCTATAATCATGTCACTTCACCATAAAAGTATCGTTAACACGTTTCCAGTACAGGATGAAGACAAAAAGAAAGACAGTCAAACAAATGGCCATCTTTTGCGAGTGTCGATGAGACGGTTTCTTTAGCAGGAGATCAAAGTGACCGTAAATTAGTCCAGTCTCGTTAGGGCGGCACATGCTCAAAATCATAAGGACTTCAAAAAAACCAACCGAACAAACGGAATGATTCCCACATTAATGTACAAACATAAATGAGTAAAAAGCCAATCACATAGCTAGCCCCCGGCAGGCTAACATCGCGCCGTTCCGGTCCATAAAGTGCACTCTCCATCTTGCTGTGCGGTCAGAAAGACAAGAGCAAAAGGACGTGTACGTGTTTGAGACAGAGGGGAAGGGAAGCGCCGCTGCATGTGTGTGTTCAGTCTAATTCCCCGAGCGGCTGCGAGTTAGAGGACACGACAGTCTCATGTGTACGGATGGAGGCAGGTGGGAGGAGGGTCGGGTGGAGGTGTGGGTTTTGTGGGGCTGACGTTAATAAACGTAGCCCTCGCTGTAGGGGTGCGGCTGGCAGTAGGGTCCCTCCTGTACGTATGCCATGTTTTCGTCAAAGTGCGACAGCGGCACCGTGTCCTCCTCGTTGATCTGCCGCTCCATGTCAGTTTTCAGCACCGGCCGCTGATTGTCAGGAAACGCCATGGAGAACAAGGCCTCGGGGTCACACACGAACTTGTAGACATATCTCTCGCCGGCCACCTGGAGAAAGACGGAGAGGTCTTGTTTTTAAACCATTTTTCCACAGCATATTCTACAGTGACTGAGTGTAATCTTTCACTTTAATCCACCAGATGGGAAAAAAGATTAAATATCTTTAAAAAAATTAATAAAAAAAACATTTTTTAAACTTTTAAAGCTGATCTCCAAATGTCATCAACAATTTTGCTTTGGCTTCCACGCTTGAAGCTCAAGAAGTGCACTGAGCTTTAAGTGTTTTCAAACAAGATACAGGATTACTTAATAGCATTTGTATCCACATCATTTGATGTTTGTTTACAAAAAGCTTCATTAAAATTCGCAGTATTTGCATCTCTGCTCTCTCATTATACTCTCTGACTCATGGAGCCCCGCCCCCACTCACAATAAAAATAAAAAATGGCCGTTCTAATGCCGTGTGACTTTTGCGTTTTCACACATCGAATCTGATCTAAATTAAGCCATTAAACACTAGCATCACACATTAACACATACCAACCAACCAAACGAGGCAACAATAGTCCAGTAACTCTGTTTTTGTAGTATCTGCTGGCTTTGATGTGGATACAATGGCTTGACAATTCTCCAATCGTAAAACAGTCAAATATTTTAAAAAGTGCACAAAAACTACTTTTAGGTGACTAAAACGCTTCGTGCTCCTGATCTAGAGCACAGCAGCACGTGGCTTTAGCTTCTGTGCTGGTACCCTTTGTTGCTTTGGGGCATCTTAACCACCATGTATTGTTTTTTGTTGTTTTGTTTTTTGTGTTTTATACAAACCCACTTCAAACAAATGAACTATCCCCAACCTAAGCGAAAACAGCTTATCCCTTAAAAGAGTTATTTTAAAACACCAGAATAAATTACATAGAGTGGTTTTACCAAGTTTTCTAAAATTATCTTTGAGACACTGATTGCTTTTTTAAACGTCTTATGTCACACGTGGATTTGGTAGAAAATAAAGGAGCTATAAACTGTTCATCGCTTCTC